AAGAGTGTGGTAGGATCCGTAGTCAGACTGTAGATCCTTGAGTGCCATTCAGGAGGAGTTTGAACTTTCTTGGGTAGAGAATGTGGACAGCTTTCCCTTCCCTGTGTCTGGGGAGTTTGGAAATTCAGGGTCACCACCTGAAATCAGTCTCCTTGGTTCTCCTTGACTGCAGGTGGAAGTTCCAATCCATTCCAGCACCTGGAGAAAAGTGCAGTACTCCAGGAGGTAAGTGACCTTTGCTCCTCTGTCCCCACCGTGGATGTTCACCAACAGTGCAGGCAGAATATTGACAGCTTCCTAGTGCTGGTCTCCAGAGCAACTGGGGAGAAAGCCTTGCCAGAAAACACAGGAAAGCTTGGTTCCAGCAGAGAGTTTATTAAGCTTGTTTTTGTTCTTATTTATCATTTCTCTTTCCACTTAGAAATGTTTGCTAAGCATCTGCTAGTCAGTAAAGTCAGCACATCCCTAAAAGTTAAGGAAGATTTTTAGGAATTATTAATAGATTAGTTAAGAAAAACAAACTCTTTCCTTGTGAGATAATCTTGTATAGGCAAGTGTATTTATTTCCTGTGTGACTTCTCAGATCCTGAAGTACCTGGGGGGAATCAGTAGAAGAGAAATGTGCTGAGCTTAGAGCTAATACGTTTTGTTGCTTCTTCTTAGGCCCGTGTCTTTAATGAAACTCCCATCAACCCTCGGAAATGTGCCCACATCCTCACCAAGATTCTTTACCTCATAAACCAGGTAAGTGGGTGAGGCTTGGAGCAGGGGAAGGTGGTGCTGGGGTGTCGGGAAGGGTGCATCATTGGGCTGTTTGACAGCCTCTCTGAGGTTGTAGCTCTTGGTCCCACAAGCATCCTGCTCTGATTCGCTGCCTTTGATGGAGCCCTCCAGGGTCTGAGGGTCTGACCTAAGCTGATCTTAGGGGAAGAAGCAGGCTGATCTTTCTCCCAGGCTGAGTTTCTTTCTTGATCCCCACAGGGGGAGCATCTGGGGACCACTGAAGCAACAGAGGCCTTCTTTGCTATGACCAAGCTTTTTCAGTCCAACGATGTAAGTGTCCTAACCCCAGCCTTCTTGCAGTGATGTGGGTGCCTTCACCTAGGCTGGTGGTTTCTTCTCCCACCTCTGGTGCCCCTGCTGAGCAGGCTGATAGGGCTTTTCCCATCTCTTTCCCAGCCCACGCTCCGGCGGATGTGCTACTTGACCATCAAGCAGATGTCTTGCATCACAGAGGATGTCATCATTGTTACCAGCAGGTGACTCTTGGGGCCATGGGAGGTGGCTCCATGGCACCTGTTGACAGACTCTTTTTGTGTGATGTGTACAGATGTAGAGGCTTTCTGTTGACATTGGGCCGGGTGCCCTTTCCTCCGTTGTCTGTCATCCTGCAATCACTGAAGGCACCCATGATGGCCTCCAGAGTGGGCCATTTCCCTTTGACTTCCCTGGCCTTGACTTGGGCGCAAACCTTTCCTTCCTGTGATTCTTCTTAGTCAACTGAGCCAGCCTGGAACTTTTTTGTTTTGTTTATTTGAGACAGAGTCTCGCCATGTGTTTCAGGCTGACCTTGAACTCACTGTGTAGCCCAGGCTGACCTCAAACTCACGGTGATCTGCCTCCCTCAGCCCCCCAAGGGCTGGGATTGCTGAAGCCTGGAACTTTCACAGAGACTTTAGTGCGTGCTACAGAACAATACAATAAAAACCGTCACAGAGAGTGCAAGGGCTATATGAATAGGCCTGCTGACTGGGTACTGCTTTCTACATTAGGCTGAGTGATTCAGGGGACAGATGTCCCTGATGTATAATCCCTGCTTGTTCAAGCTGGTGTTCCATTCTCATTTTTTGTTGCCACAGGTGTTTGTGCAAGGGAAGGGCCCACACATTCACTGGTAGATTCATTTAGAAAATATTTACTGAGTGTGTATCAGTTTGTGTGGAGCTTTGGGGATACGGCAGCAAACAAGACAGCTGTGGTCTCCACAGCCCTAGAATAACAAGGAGTTAGCCAGGCTCCTGGGGGCTTGTCTGTTCTGTGCCCAAGAAGCCACAGAAATAGAGGAGTGAGTGAAAACAGAGGAGCAACCTGGTCGGTTCTAAGTTATAAAAACCCCTCCAGGGCCGGGGATTTAGCCCAGTGGTTCCGTCGCCTGCCTTGCAAGCCTAAGGACCCAAGTTCCATCCCCGGTACCAAAAAAAAAACACCAAAAAACCCCTCCAGCTGCCCTTTAGCTGGGTGGGAGGAATAGAAGGCCAGCGAGAGCTGGGAGACCTGTGCAGCAACCCAGCCAGATGTGGTGGTAGGGGAGCCGGAGAGGACTGGGCCAGCCTCAGCACCCCACACGTCACTGTGTCCCCTGTCCCCCGCAGCCTGACAAAAGACATGACCGGGAAAGAGGACAACTACCGGGGCCTGGCCGTGCGCGCCCTGTGCCAGATCACTGATGTGAGTCCACGCCCTCCTGTGTCCTGCACACACTTCTGGTTGTCCCCTGCTCCTTGGGTCAGGGTGTGCAAGAGCACCCAAAACAGTTGCTACCTTCCTCCCTGTACTCCTCTGTACCACACA